TCTCTCTCTCTCTCTCTCTCTCTCTCTCCCCTCTCTCTCCCCTCTCTCCCCTTCTCCCTTCCCTTCCTCCGTCCCTTCCCCCCTCTCCTTCCCTCTCCCACTGCTCAAGTAGTTTTAAGATATATACAAACGTTTATGTCCACTTTTTTCTCACTTGTTCTGTTGAGATATTACAGAAATTCAAACTGCTTATCCCCCCCCCCCTTCCCTCCCCCTTGTGATGTGTCAGGAGTTGAAGGCAGAGCTGGAGAAGTTGCGGGAGGAGCACGTGTACATCCAGGGCAAGTACCTCTCCGTGTCGGAGGCAGGCCAGAAACACTTCACCAAAGCCAAGCAGCTGGAGGAAGCCAACGCTAAACTCATCAGCCGGAGCAAATACCTGAGTGAGTAATCTGGGGAAATTCTCTTCCCTGCTTGCAGTGTTTGCTGCAGTGGTTTGCATTATTGCTTTTTTTTTTCATCATCGTTGTCATCATCATCTTCATGTGTCATCATAATCATCATCAGCATCAAATACCGAATAATTTTCCTTTTTTTCTGTTTTTGTTTCTTCTTGAAGTATAACGAATACTTCCATGTTGCCACATTTTTAATGTAACCTACAAATATCATCCACCAAATTAGAGACACGAGCAGAGAACACAGACACTGGAAGTACACGCACCTTCTAAATAAATAGTTCGCATTATTGAGAAGACATGTTTGCGTAGTTCTGAAGGACACAGGACTATGGGCCATCTGTTGACCTCTTAGAGAGTTACAATCGAACCTGCTACAAAGGCCTCTTATCCAAGACAATCACCTGTACAAACAACCGTCTTCCCATTTCCTCCTTGCATTTTTACTGTACTATAATGACACTGTCCAAGACATTCACCTGTCAAAGACAACTACTTCTCTCATTGACAATGGATGGCCGTCCTGGGCGATAGTTTAGTAGGGCCAATAGTTCTGCCTTAAAAAGTATATAATTATAAGATGAGATAAGATAATACTTTATTATCCGGGGGGGGGGGGGGGGGATTTTCCTTTTTCTGTACAGGACCGTAAAAATACATGCAGGTAGACATAGACATTTTTGATGATATATTACTCTCATTAAAATTTCAATATGAAAAGAGAAGTAAAGGGGACAAAATGTACATATCACATCAGATGCATCATTCAACCACAGGCAGGAATTTCATTACAAGACCTTTAGAGTTATATTGATTCATACTCGAAGAAAGATCAATACACATTGATGCTTATTCTGACAATATCCTTATGTTAGATGGTAAAAACTTCTTTTATATTTTTGTTTTTTTTGTTTTTAGAGATACATATCTGCTGCTGTGTGATCTGACAATTTATAAGAAAACATTTCTCCAATTTGTTCAGCAGAGGAATCCTGTGCGGAATTTTTCCTGTGGGAACGAATAACAATTCACTTGTGATGTGCCATTGTATTGAGGTTGACCAACCTCTATCACCATTTTTTTTCCCGCTTTTACTCTCCACAACAAAGGATTAATAGAAGATCTGGGATTTTTCATTTTTTCTTTCCCCTGCACAGAGATTCTGAGACTTTAAAAATTCCTTGTTTTCCAGGCTGAGCATGTCATGACTTCAAAGAGTGTTGAGTAAATGTACGTTTTGTGTACATGAAAAAAATATCAAAGACTATGATGTGCCTGTAATGAAAGTGATTACATTAATAATGGACAAGAGGGAGGTGGAGTTCTACTAAAAACTTTTCAGATTCAGATTTTTACTTTTGATTCCACTGTTTCAGCTCACACAAAAAATATTAGTCTCGCTAATATACATGATGTCTAGATAATTAGTTATCTATCAGGGCTTTTTAATGTCAGCTGAAATGAAATATATGGGCTAAAATAATCATTTATTGTTTATTTTATTCCCCCAGAAACCCTTTTAAAAGAAGAGAAAGAAAAAAGTTCTGCGAAGTCTTCAGGTGTGGATGCCGCAGCCAAGACGGATGTAGATGGTGCAGTTAAGATGGATGTGGATGCTGCAACTAAGACAAATGCTGACGGCACGTCTTCGTCTAGGATAGGTGTGAATGGTACGATGAAGATAGGTGTGGATGGAACGGCTAAGATGGGTGTGGATGGCACAACATCTACAACAAGTGTGAATATTACCTCCAGGACAAATGTGGATGGTTTTGTTAGGACTGGAGGACAAGGGACGTCTGGGTGTCAGAATGCTGGAACTAACAAGGAGGGGAGATTACCGGTTCCAGGGATGTCTGTACACGTGGCTACTTCGTCTAGAACCACTGTTGAATGTACCGGTCTGAGAACTCCAGGCTCTGGTAAGGACAAAGTTGTGTTGCATTGTGTGTATTATTTTATTACGTATTTGTATGTGCTCATTTCGTAACAATGTGTAAGCATGCGCATGTGATAAGAAAGTAGATGTGTGTGTGTGTGTGCGTGCGTGTGTTTGGTGTGCATGTGTGTGTAATGTGTGCGGGAGTATGTTTGTGTGTGTGTGTGAATATTGTTCGTACATGTATTTATGTAAAGCGCCTAGAGCTGTGTTCACACGAAAGTTGGCGCTATAGAAATGATCTACTTTATTATTATTATTGCTTATAGCCATGAGTTTTGTTGTGCTTGTCATTGACGTAATGATGTTGGTGGGCGCTCTGCTGTGGTTTGCTCCTTCTTTCCTATCAAACATCTGTCATTTATCTCTCTTCCTTTTCTTTGTATGTTTTTGGAGGGAATAGTATAGAAATAATTAAATGAAAAAAATGTCAAAGACTATGATGTGCTTGTAATGAAAGTTAGTACATAATAAATAAGAGGGAGCTCAAATTCTACACAACACTTTATAGATTTTTACATGTGATTCTGCTGATTGAGCACACACTAACATATGTAATGAAATGTGTTTGTTGCACTTCCATACATAGAGTAGAGGTCTCTAAATTACAAAACTTGAAATTGTCCAAGACGTCTAACCATTGTTGAGGAGAAAAGTGGTAGTCTTAGACAGGTGGGCGCTTTGGACAGTGTCGTTATAATATTTTTAAAAACCACAAAAGGGAAGTGGAAATTTGATGTTTGTACAGGTATTTGTCTTTGGACAGGTAGCCGTTAGAGCTAGAGTTACGTTTTGACAAATATGCAAAGTTCTGAAGTGTTTCTGTCAGTGTCACGGAATCCATTCGTATTTCTTCACAGCTTCCAGGCTACGCATTGATCTCAAGAGAACACAAAGTTCTCCCGCTCTCCAAAGGTTTGGCTCGTCTGGGAAAAAACCTTTGCTCACGTCCAGCAGTCGTAGAGAGCTTGTGTTGTCAGCTCATAAGGAGCAGCCAGCCTCTAACGGTAAAGAGACAAAGACCTCACCTCCCAACAGACAGCAGAGTTCCTCTAGCCGAACACAGCTGCCAGCGTCCAGTGGTAAAGAGCCCAAGACGTCAACTCACGATAGATTGAAGAATTCCTCTAGCCGGACGGCACAGCTGCCAGCCTCCCCACCGAGCGCAGACACAGCGGGGCCGTCACAGATCAGGAAAACGGTGTCCTCCTCCAAGCTGTTGACGAAAACTCCCGGTGTCAAACTGTCCCCTCGCGTGACACGAGGCTCGACCGCTCGACGGACCCGGGACAAGCCAGAACAACCAGCAGGTATAGGGAGATGACATTGTATGTTTTTGTCTCTGTAAAAGTAAGGTATAGTGCGCCCCAGCTGTTTCGTGTTCCTCTAAGTGATAGCACCAACCCTACTCTCTCTCTTTTTTTTGTTCCTCGTTTAGTAAATGGGTTATCCAACACGTACTCACTTTTTTCATATGGTGTTCTTTATAAAAAAATATTATGCACTGACCAAAATGAAAGTCCAGGCATATCACAAAGTTCTTGTTTAGAGATATGAGACATTAGTGGTTTTCTTATTCAGAGAGGAATTTGGGTGGTCCGAGTGTGGTTCATTCAAAAAAAGTGTCTCTCCGTTCACTGAATTCTTTTACAAAATGACAAACTGGTTTTTGTTGTTGTTTAAAATTATTTTTTTTAGTAAAGTAAGAGTTTTACAGCACTTGCAACACAATAAGGTCATATAAGTGCCGAAGATTAGAGGTGCTACAAGAGAGTAACAAACAGAGGAAAAAAAGGAGGAGAGATGAGGACGATAGATGTTTGATAGAAAAGAAGGAGCAAACCACACCAGAGCACCTGCAGACCAGCCTCCCACTGACAAACAATGTTGGATGGACGAGCAGATTCCCCTCAAACACTGCACATTTTCAAAAATCTGTTTTGGTGATCAGCCAAGTTTGCAGTGGACAAAGATGTAGAAACTGATGTTTTTGTTTGTGAACTCTGCAACAAAATCCTCCCTTTTTTCTGTTGACCAATAACACAAATGAATGAATGCAGGTGTTTTGATGCTCCCATTGACACAATGTAATAGATACTTTAGGAGATTGGCTTCTGACCTTGCCTGTCCTGAGTGGTATACAACATCCCAGCTGAAAGACCGAGACACTCGATAACAATTTTTCACCACTCTGGTACATTGTAGTGAACTTGATTCTCCTGCCTCTGACATTAAAGCACCCAACCCCTACACAGCGGTCACCGGTCAGACAACACAATAAAACCCTCCACTTTTTTCTGTCCACAGACCACGCAAAGCCTACAATAAGAGAGGAAATAGCAGCAGCGGAGATTGGACCCCCACGCGTTACGCGGCGCTCCCTGGGCAAACGACAGTCGATGGACGGGCCCGGGCCTGATGGGGCCGGGGGCAAGAAAAGTAAACTGTCGCTGGCCGGTGAGTTATCAGTCAAGTGGTAGTTCGCTACTTTAGAATTACAAAGTTCTATCTGACATTTTTGGCCGTTTTCAGTTACTAAGACCATGGGGGTCAGAAACCAAATGTTCTATCTGCTCTATCAAAATCATAGGGTTATTCGGAGTCGTTATCAAGATATATGGTCGCTTTTAAGGACAAGCGGGCTAGCCCAGATTACGGGGGTTTCCAGAAATCTTGACCTACACCAAAAGTGGGCATTGCCATACCTATAGGAGAAGTTTGGTTTCACTGGTGTGTATATTTGTTTGGTTAAAGAGAAAACTCTCCTTGTCTTTTAAAGAAACTGAACAAAGGGCAAAAATTTTACCTTCGATTTTCTCAAAACAGCATTTTTCAGAATAACCCCTTGTGCTTAAAAGCGACCATATATGGGCAAGGTGGGTGTACATTCAGTCAGTTTTAGTTTTAGCAGAGGTTTTACGGCGCTCGCAACTGCATAAGTTCATATGAGCGCCAGAAGATTAGAGGCGTTACAAGAGAGTAACAAACATAATAAAGAAGAAGGGGAGATAAGGACGATAGATGTTGGATAGGAAAGAAGAAGCAAACCACACACACCAGAGCACCCGCCTACCACCCACCCATTCAGTCAAATAGAAAACAAGACAATGGACATTCAAAGAAGTGCATTTGAAAAAGCTCGACATGTTGAGAAAATTAACGTCAGATTTCTCCAAATCGGGTATATAGTGAGCAGATAGAACGTTGTCGTTCTGGGGTGGTGAGTTGTCTAATGTCCCAGCGGGTGGCTAGAGGGCGCTGCTTGTAGGACCTACTTTTCTTCTTTCCCTCTGTTATTTCTGTCTTTCTCTCTTTCCTTATCCTTGTGCTAGACGACCTAGTTGTGTGTTTGTTTGATCTGTTTATTTCTGACTCTTTTCTCCTTGTAATGTGGTTCGATTTTTTTACTTCTTTTAATTCAGTAGTTCTTGTTAAGTTTTTGTCATCTTTTTTATTTCTTACTCTATACTTGTAATGTAGTTGAGCTCTTTACTTCATTCTCGGGGTGGTTGGAGGGTGCCATTTGTAGGTCCTTTTTTTCCCCCCTCTCTCTCTGTCCCGCTTTTTACTTTCACTAGATGACCGTTACTGTGTCGATGTGTTTCTCTTTGCTGCAACTAACAGACTTCATGCTCAAAACTTGTTATTGTTGTTGGTCTCTTTTACTTTTTACTCAATGTTCTTTGTAATTTAGCCTTGTTGTGGAGTGGAAAGTGATGAGAGTGGGTGGTTGGCAATGGCGGGTGCTCTGGTGTGGTTTGCTTCTTCTTTCCTATCAAACATCTATCGTCCTTATCTCCCCTCCTTCTTTTTTATGTTTGTTACTCTCTTGTAACACCTCTAATCTTCTGGCGCTCATATGACCGTATGCAGTTGCGAGCGTCGTAAAACCTCTGCTAAAACAAAGTGATGAGAAAGGCTTAAATGTAGTATTTCTATATTTCTCCTTGATACGGGCTGTGTATTTCCTGTTGTTGTTTATTTTCCCTTATGGAGTCTATGAGCTGTAGCTAGGTCTCTCATCTCCGTGCTTTAAAAAAATAAAAATTCTATTTAGTAAGAGTTTTATAAGACTTGCAACACAAATAGGTTGTATAAGGGCCGAAGATTAGAGGTGTTACTAGAGAGTATCATTATACTATCATACAAAGAACAGAAGGAAGAGAGATAAGGACGATAGATGCTTGGAGAGGAGAGAAGGAGTAAACCACATCAGAACCCCTCCCTACCGACCACTCACCCCATGCTCTGTGTGTTTTGCTCGTTGTAGTAAACAAATTGCTAACCCGTTTTGATGTTTTTGTGTCTGATGTCGACAGAACCGGACCCAGAACCTGCAGCAACCAAAGGAGGGCGGGGCTCAAAACTTCCTCTACCCAGGACCGCACGGGCTAAGAAAGATATGTCTGTAAGTATTCGTGAGTGCTTTTTAAGTTCAGAAAGGTTAGCTGACTGCCAGTAAATGCCACAAGAGAGTTATGTTTAGTGACTTCTATTCTTTATTATACAATATCAAAAACCTGTGTTCTGCGACTCTCATTTTATTACAAAATGTTTGGCATTGTGGTGAAACCGGTGCTCGTCAGTTTACCGAACCTATAGAAAGCTATATTATATTTCCTCCCGTTAGGCAATTTTTCTTTTTCGTTGCCTTTTTTTTGTTGTTTCTAAACACCTTTTAAATCTATTTACAAACACATTTCTGTGTGGATTTTACTGATAAAAGTTGACCAAAGGCACAAAACAAAATATGTGAGGTTTTGCTGGCAAATGAGTTACTTCTCGGAATTTAGCCTTATGGAAATTGATACTTCAACTTTATAGTACAATTTGTAAGTACGGAATAATAAAAGACACGGTAGACTTGAAGAAAATGGCATCAATTGAAAATCTCTAAATGTGACCCCAGTGTCAATTTTCGGCCAATATCTCCATTCTTAGATTGCGAGAAGTAACTCGTCTTGTCAACGGGCCTCACATCTATATATGTGAATGAATAATATTTGTTATGTTCCTTCAACCCACCCCCTTACAACCCAAATGTTTCCTTTTACTACAGTCCTGTGGAACAGCGCTGGCGACCATCACCAACAGTCCCAAGAAAGTGGCGCCGAGAGGGAAGGCCGGACCCAGCGGTCTGCTACGTCTCAACAAAACTCCGCAGCGCAAACTTCCCGTGAGACAGGAGGCTCAGGACGAGGGGGCAGGGGAGTGCACCACGCAGTAGAAGGGGAGACAATTCTTCTTGTACTGTGCCAGCCGCGGGGGAAACATGCCAAGTGACCTGAATGATTATTTATTGAATTGTGCCTGAATGATTTCCATTAGTCCATTTGTAATTATAGTCATTTTCACATGAATCATGAATGAGAGAGTGTAGCAATTGTACATCAGCTTTTTAACTTCTGCCGTGGTCACAAGAATGAGAGAGAGAGAAAAAAGTAATTTTGTAGTTCAGTTTTGTAACTACTACCATGGTCACTAGAATGAGAGAGAGAGAGAAAAGTAATATTGTAGTTCAGTTTTGTAACTACTACCATGGTCACAAGAATGAGAGAGAGAGAGAGAGAGAGAGAAAAAAGTAATATTGTAGTTCAGTTTTGTAACTACTACCATGGTCACAAGAATGAGAGAGAGAGAGAGAGAGAGAGAAAAAAAAGTAATTTTGTAGTTCAGTTTTGTAACTACTACCATGGTCACTAGAATGAGAGAGAGAGAGAGAAAAGTAATATTGTAGTTCAGTTTTGTAACTACTACCATGGTCACAAGAATGAGTGAGTGAGAGAGAGAGAGAAAATTAATATTGTAGTTCAGTTTGGTCATGGTCACAAAAATGAGAGAGAGAGGCAGAGAAAAAAGCAATTGTGGTGGTTGTTTTGTAACTACTACTGTTGTTTCATGAATGAAAGAGTGTTGCAATTATTGTTCAGTTTTGTAACTCCTGCCTTTTGTTTCATGAGTGAGAATGCAGTAATTATTGTTCAGTTTTGTCATCATTATCATTATCACATGTATGAAAAGAGTGAAACTACTGCCATTGTTTCATGAATAAGAAAGTATAACAATTGTAGTTTGTTTTGTCATTATTATCATTGTCACATGAATGAAAGAGTGCGGAACTTCTGCCATTGTTTCATGAAAGAGTGAGTGTAACAGTTGTAGTTCAGTTTTGTAATTATTATCATTGTCACATGAATGAAAGAGTGCGGAACTTCTGCCATTGTTTCATGAAAGAGTGAGTGTAACAGTTGTAGTTCAGTTTTGTAATTATTATCATTGTCACTTGTATGAAAGAGTGTGGAACTATTGCTGTTGTTTCATGAATGAGAGTGTAGCGACTATAGTTTATACTGCTGCCATACTTATTCATTCACTGCTCAATAATTGAGAATAAATGTACCACAAACTAACCCACCAGACACTCCATTACAACCCACCTGGCAAATATTCTCATGGTCGTTTGACAAAGACTCGGCAGAGCTCTCTAAGCAGAGTATTCCTTCGCTGTCATTCAACATTGTAATGTGTCAAAATCTTTAAAAAATTAAAATTGAATACCCGTATGTTATAGAGTTTAAGGGGCGCGTCAATTGGTTCTAGTCTTATTCCTCTTCTCAAGAGAGTAAAGGAGTTAGACGAATTAAACATTTTGTATTCACAAAGTGTTCTGTCCAAAATAAAACTTTTTTGCTTCTCCAGAATGCCTCATATTCTGACATTTGACATTGATGAATGACAGGGTTAGTTTGTGCTTGAGAGCTCCGGTCTTTGGTCTGAATGACCTCATTACTTTTTTCTTCCAAGAATTACTCGATGCATCACTAATGATAGTGGTCTCTAATTTGTTTGCTTTGAGCAAATTTTATGTGTACATATTATTTTCCTTTGGTATTTTTAGTTTGTATTCATATACATTTTATGTGCATTATTCAACCTTTTAAAGATATTTGTGAGATAAAAATCATACAAATTTACTTTTGTCTTTGTGAGTTTTTTTTCCTTTTCTTTTTTTGAAGAATGAAAAAGGACGAGAGAAGTGTAACAGTAAGAGATTTGTTCATCTGTTTATAGATTAACGAACTATGTTCTAAAATCTTCTGAGTGGCAGATGTTGTCGGCACGTCTAACTTCTTGCCAGAGAATTGAGTTCCTCTTTCAGTCTACGTGCCAGAAAATAGAATTACTTGTTTTTCAGTCTTCTTGCCTGGAAACAGAATTGCTTATGATTTAATCTACCTTCCAGTTCATTATCTTTCAGCCAGATAAATGAGCTCTAACTCTAAAAGGACTATCTGATCAACACTGTTAAATGTCTCTTACTGAAGTTTGTGTATGTTGTGAGTGGGTGGGTTTAACAGCTGTATAGCGGCCTTCAGATAGTCATGGTCTACTGTCTTTGAGAAGCTAGTTCACATAGGCCCTACACATGAGTACAGGATGGCATGTGATGTGTGTCATGAATCACTGACATTGGACTTTCTTTCTCGCTTCTCTATTTAATAATAAATAGCATTTGTATAGTGCAAGTGCGGTAAAACTCTTACTAAAACTGAAAAAACAACCCTCTTTCACCTCAAACCCTGCTCATAGCAGTCACTTGCTACAAAGTCTTTTCCCACATTAAGTGTGTATGTTCAATCGATGTAAAGAAGCTCTTGGGATATATAACAAAACAAATATGAAGGAAATAAAATGGAAAGTCAAAGTTAGGACTTAAGAATTTAAACCACGCATTGTCAAGTCCAGTAGTAAGTGACCCTATCTTTTTTTGTTTGTTTTTGGTACATGTGTAAGTGTTTTACTGCGCTTGCAACTGCATAAGGTAATATGAGTGCGCGGGACACGTTTAACGTCCCCTATCAACTTTATTAGATATTTTTCAGAGACAGGACCTCCGAATTTAACATCCATCTCTGAAAAGACCGAGCCAAAATGGAAAATTTCTTTAAAGTGTCTTATCCCAAGGACTCAGTGTTGGACAGAGCGAATGCTCGAACCCCTGAAACTACAATCTCACGATTACGGGTCCCGTATAAATATTAAGAGCCAACCCATTTACGACTAAAAGAATTCACAACAAAAAAGACGCGAGATTAAGCTGTTTGATATTTTATTTGACTTGTAGTTTTGACATCTGTGCAGACAAAAAATAAAACAATGACATAATTATGCTTTTGGACCAATAGGATAAAAGTCAACATATTGTCTAAATGTCGTACATTATATCTCCGGCAATATACAACCCATTCTTGTTCAACATGCCAAAGAAGCAAGTGTAAACTTTTCTTAGTAATTTGTGGGGACCAGTTGAAAAAACCCAGCTAAATTAAGAACAATTTGATAATACAAAAAGCCTATTTCCCTACTGCAAGCTTACTTTTAAAACTTTTATACATAAATAAACAAGAAAAAACAAAAACAAAGCAAAAGGTATTCAAAAGTGTGTGCTGTTAAAAATACATTATAATACAAGATCTATTCACTGAACATAAGTTTTATTGCTCACTCACTACAAAAAAGATAAATCAATAGCATGAAAAAAAATACCCAGATTATTGCACTGAATGCTGCAGGCTATCTTGAAAAAATAATTTACAAGTAAATTATGAGATTCAAAATCGACTTGGGGTGAAAAGACCCCTAGCAAAAAGAGATCCTCGTGAAGAAAAGTTAGATTCAATTCAGTTCTCCTCCAGAGGCCTAATACTAATATAGTCAAATCATTCAATGTTTCTTTTTTGTTGAGATTTTCGCTGCTGTTTACATCCCTTTCCATTCACCGCTTCTCTCCTTGTAAATGATATATCATAATATATGTGAGGCAGCGTGCTGGAATCAGGCTCTCGTCAAAATAATCAAAGAGAAGAAACTTGCATTTTTCCACAGGTTTATGAATTTTCATCAAATTTTCATTTTTTGGCTCAACACCGTTCATGCCCGTCAAAGAAATGATTTTCTGAAAATCGTAGATTAAAGGCACAAAAAATGTAAATTTTCAGTTACCACGGACTCTAAAGCTAAGGAAATATCTAATCTTTGGCGCCATTTTCTCACTAATTTTACCACTGAAAACAGGTGACCTCCATCTCCTTCATTGGCAAATATCTCAATTTATATTCAAGATAAATGGATATTTTTTTCATCCAAATATAGATAACTGAACAAGCTTTAAGAAAATACCAATAACTCTACATGCTCAAATATTGACGAGAGCCTGATTCCACCACGCTGCCTCATATATGAATCTGAAACAACTTCTTCCAGAGCAATCTTTGCCACGGACAGTACAAGACTACAAGACTGCAGGACTACAGGGAAGGAAAGACTATTCCATACAAAATGGCTGCCAAATATATGACCAGGATCTCTCCCCCATCTCTCCAACACACAACTGCCAAATATCTAACGTATTTATCCTCCATCTCTCCAACACACAATGGAAAAATATCTAATGTGTTCCCCCCCCCCATTTCTTCAGCACACAACCGCCAAATAATGAAATATTTGACAAGTTTATCCTCCATCCCTTCAACACACAACTGCCAAATATCCGATGTGTTTACCCCCCCCCCCCCCCCCCATCTCTTCAACATACAACTGCCAAATATCTGACAAGGACCTCTCCTCCATATCTCCAATACAAAACTGCCAAATATCTGACGTGTTTATCCCCCATCTCTCCAACTCATAACTGACAAATATCTAACGTGTTTACCACCCATCTCTCCAACACATAACTGAAACTGCCAAATATCTGATGTGTTTATCCCCCGTCTCTCCAACACACAACTGTCAAATATCTGACAAGGATCTCTCCCCCATCTCTTCAACACACAACTGCCAAAAAATGAAATACTTGACATGATTATCCTCCATCTCTTCAACACACACCTGCCAAATATCTGACGTGTTTATCCTCCATCTCTTCAACACACAACTGCCAAATATTTGATGTGTTTATCCTCCATCTCTCCAAACACACAACTGCCAAATATTTGACGTTTTTATCCCCCATCTCTCTAACACACACACACAGCATACTGTCATAGTCATAGAAAATCACAAGTTGTTTCACTTGAACCTAGAATCTGCCTTCATGGAAAAAAAAACTTCACCCTAAAAAACATACATGTATGATAACATATTATTACATGTATAGATACTATGGCAAACGGCGACCACACAGACCTACTTCTGCATAATATTTCCACCAAAATAAAAAAGTTGGTCACCGAATCAAGTTTCTCACCAAAAAAAAAAAAAAAAAGCAATTCCGTCGATGTGGCGAGAGTGTAGGCCTACTGAGCAAACAAGAGTTGACCGGTGTTGAGATTCTTGCAAAGATCATACAACTTAATAACTACATAGATAAAACACGTACGAGTAGAAAATAAAACCCAAAAACATATTTAAAGTCAGGCTGCTCAATCAACGTATGTAAATTGATATAATAACTCACTGGCAATATTGGTGAGCACAGATTCCTATGCTGGAATGGTGGGCAATACAGGCTAGATCACAGCAAGTGATGGCTTTTGGCTAAGCCAGTAAGAGTTAAAATACGCACACACTTCACAACAACCACAAAAACTGATTCTGTGCATGTGTCGAACTCATCCAACTCAGCTGTTTTTCCCATCTAACTACAACTAACCACATAATTTTTTATTTTTTTTTTTTGGGGGGGGGGGGACATGGACGTATACCCAGATTGCAGGACCATTGTTATTACTCGGCTTTGAATTCTTAGTCACAGATTTTGCTGCAGATAAAAACAACCATCCTTCACTTACTTTTGAACTAAATAAATGCTGTAGACTTACAGCTTTTACAAATACAATTACCTTTTTCGAACACATGAGCGCTGAACCATCGCCATAAAAAAATAAGAACAAATCTCCCTTCAGTCCTCAGATCCTGAGAGTGGAACAGGATCTCCAGAAATATGTGACAGAACAAAAATCATACAACAGGTGATATCAAAACGCAATTTTTGCAGTGCAGGAGTTATTGTGAACAGTATCATTCGCCAGAGAAGAAAGTCTTACAAAAACTGCCAATGAAGTTGGTTTATCAACTATAGATCTACTAAAAACAGAATGATTGCTACCTCTTCAGGGTCACCAGTCCTAATGCACTATGGTGACTACTCCTTGTATTAAAAACACATTCACCTTGACATACACACACCAGCATGATGAACACACACAGCATGCATGCACACACACAGACACACACAGCATGCATGCACACACACACATACACACGAGTTAAAAAGCTGGCGGTGGGTCATAGCTAAAAGAGGAAAACACTACAAGTACAAGTATTGTCACAGTTATCAGATCCACACAGCTTCTTATGTGTGGTTTCTACGTTCTTGAACTTAGTGAGAACCTTGCTGCTCCTTGTTTTCAAAGATTCATTGACAACTTGTTCACTTGTTCCTACATGATAATGAATGTTCCTGAATGAAACGTCTCTTCAAGTGATTTGTAATGCTTCAACTTCAACATGGTTGGTCCTTAAAATTATTGCACATGACAAAATAATAGAGTGAGAGAGAGTATATGTATAGGATAGGGTGCTCCAGCAAACAAGCTCTCCTCACACTCACAAGACTAGACAAGTCAGCGAGAGCAACAAGAAAACACGGGACACACAAGTCCAAGCTTCTCATTTCTGATCTCCCTCACAACACAGACAAGAGTTCAGCTGTCACAACACAACACACCAACCGTTTTGTCCCCCAGGGCAGTGCCACTGACTGAAGTGTCTTTAGGCCATTCCAAAAGGGGAGACATTTCCCGTTCAAGCATAGTAGAATTGTAAATGGGCTGACTCATATCACTCTCATAACTGTGCCTGATCTACAACAGGGAACTGCTGCTTTTTCTTTCCTGATCCTTACTATTGTCATTTTCCTCTACTTCTTTTGTATGTTTGTCACTCCCTTGTGACCTGCTATTTTGGGGTGCCTTGATAGTCGAAGCAGACCTTGTGCTGTTGAAGCTAGAGAGGTGAGCAGTCTAAGTCAGATTCCCTGTAAAAACTTCTCTGTTGACACCCACCCCTTGGCGCTCATATAACCTTACGCAGTTCCGAGCGCCGCAAAACCCTCTACTATAAATTAAAAGAAACAACTGTTTTGTCCAATACACAGACAAACGCACACAAACACTGGCGTCTATGGTGCAGCAATTAGGTGCTCTGTCATCGCACAATGAAGACATGAGTTCGATTCCCGGGTGGGGAGAGGTTTTAAAAATTTTTTTTATCGAGTAGCTTATCTGCATCTGTCTGCTAGGCCCATCGTATACCGTTCAGTCCAGGTTGGCCCTCACAGACAGGGTTGAAACATCCCACCTCCTAAATGATCTAAGTTGTTGTATCGAAGGAGGCGTGTCAAACACCTACAATAACACACACAAAACTAATCTGGTTTATTAAAACATGCCCCTTTCAGACACACACACATAAACCATCAGATATGCAAACCCCTGTCAGACACACACACACACACATATGTGCACACACATAAACCATCAGATATGCCAACCCTGTCAGACACACACACACATAAGCGCGCGCACACACACACACACACACAAACCATCAGAAACGCCAACCCTGTCAGACACACATAGCTGGGCTCCACAGGTCCCCATCTCAGAATACTGCTTTATACAGCTGGGTCAGACCCAGAGCCAAAACGTCCCATCGACAACAATAATGTATTGCATAATATAAAACTTTTCCACTCATCATGAAAGCGTAGACTTGTCATAATTTGTCGCTGAAAGTACACAGTGCACATAACAACAACAACAACAACAATAATAATAATATGTATTAAGCTGTGGATAATATAAAAATAGCACACAACAGCACACCTATCACAGCACGCCAAATAAGCTCCGGTAAGGAAAAGAACACGACCAGCTACACAGCCCCACATGCTGCCTCCGAGATTAGAGAGTAGAAAAAAACCCTACAAAAGTGCTGTCGCAAAATACCAGTAACAAAATCAGGCTCTTAAATGTGTGTGTGTGTGGGGGGGGGGGGGGGACGCTCTTAAATGTGGGGGGAAGGGGGGGGGGGGGGGGGGGGAAGGCTACAAAATATCAGTAACAAAATCATGCTCTTAAATGGGGGGTGGGGGGGCTAAAAAAATATCAGTAACAAAATCATGCTCTTGAGTGTGGGGAAAAAGCCACAAAACAACAGTAGTAACAAATCTCGCTTGTGAGCGATCTAGAGCAAGGGCCTTCGAATGACAGGTGCCACTTCACACAGTCATTTTTAGGTCACAGAAGTCATAAGTCGGTCATTTAGGTCATAACCGGTTGAAGCAGGTCATAACTAGGTCATGGAGGTCATTATAACTAGTTCAAGAGTTTCCATCGACTGAATGGCAGGGTCATTTTTAAAAATCATGGGTGACAAATAAATGGCCGACGCTTCTACAATTTTCAACTTCCACATGTTCCATCAAACCATCATCATAGGTGAAGACCAGTGGAGAGCAATGAAGACCCGTGGAGCATGAGCCGAGTGCTATCAGCGACACCACCATCATATGACATAAGACGTAGACCTGTCGACCTACGCCACAAAAGATGCCAAGTGTAGCGACAGAACTGTGGCAACATGGAGGACAGGAGGTGTCACTGCATAATAAAATCAGAGCGCGACCTCAGTGCTTTCTTGTCCTTTCTCCTTTTTTTTTAACAATAAAAACGTCACTTCTTAAGCTCACTCTTAGTTAAGAACTGTTTTCCCTGTTATTAAAAATAAGAATAAAAATCATACAACAGGTGATATCAAAACGCAATTTTTGCAGCGCAGGAGTCATTGTGATAGGACAAGAAAGCACCGAGGTTGCGAGAGATACAACGGACACAATTAGAAGATCCGTGCTCTAGACAGCCCACATGTGTCACAACAAAGGGAAAAGTTACAGCGATATCTTAAACACTCGTGCCCTTCTCAAGATAAACTCTCACTATACTACACAATATCTCCTGAGCCAAGTCCGTCTGTCTATTACATTTCACTGCCTGTTGGAATGGGGGCATACAACACTGCTGCCAATGAGACACATACTGCTATCACCATTCCTATCAATTCCATCTCTTCACACTTCTATTTCCATTCCCATAAATTCCGTCTCTTCACACTTCTATTTCCATCCTCATAAATTGCAGCTTTTAACGCTGCCATCACAATTCCCATAAATTCCACCTCTCAAAGCTGCTATCACCATTCCTAGAAATTCCATCTCTTCATAACATTATAACCATTCCAATAAATTCCGTCTCTTCACACTACTTTTGCCATTCACATTTCAACTCTTTCATTTCTAAGAACTTCACACACAATTATTAAGGAATGCAGTCTTTCATCCCAGCCCCTAAAGAGCTTGAGAGAACTAAGTTGGATATAAGAAAATCTGAAAGTACTTCAGTCATAAGCCAAAACGCACAGCAAGAAGCATGCTGTTATTTGGGGAGGATGAGGGCGGGGTAGGGTGGTGGGTGCACACAGAATTGCCGTGAAGAGTGAATTCTGAGTAACTCTGTGGTCGTGCCGGGACAAGGCAAGAGAGAACAGATCAGTCTAGGCACAGACAGAATATCAAACGTCTGCGTAACAACTCACAGAAGCACCAGTCTCAAAACCCAACTATGAAAAATGGGGATGGGAAAAAAAATATTCAGGAAAAAATTGTGTTGTGAATCAAAATGTGACTGACAAATATGGCAAAAAATAGTGGAGGCAAGCGCATGATCAAATAAGAAAAAAAATCACTGAGTTTATCTTTCATGCATGTGGTTGATTTAAAGCATGTGATGACAAAAATCCCCATTCTCTCTTTTCACTTCTAGTACACATAATATATCATCCCGAAGATTTTTCTAATCTGAGCAATAATTTGCAATATTTACCTTAGAATCACTTTCTATCTGTTATCAGGGGCAATGCACAGTTATAACGTCAATGTATTCCTAGTCAAAGAAATTTTTTAAAAACCCTAGGTTTTCTGCAAGATATAAAATCAGCCATGAGCATTGCATTGATGCTGAGGGAAAGCACAAGTTGACTGGTGCAAATTCAGATTTTGAGTAAAGAAAAGTATGAGAACAGGCAAACAGAGACTGAGCTCAAACAACATTTTATGAAGAAAAACCGTCCAAAAGCTCACATTGTACTGGCAAATACAGTAGTATTGTTAGCACAGCAAGCCTCTGAATTCATGAACAGGCGGCGTTTTTTTCCAAGTGGGTAACATGCCCTACAAATGAGCGTGACATTTTGTTCCAAGACGGCCATACGTGCTACAACTATGGGGGATGTTTTTATTTAACTAAAACTCATTCAGAAAGAATGTTTTGCTACCCTGGGAATATACAGAGGGATAAACGTCTCTGTGAAACAAAGGAAGATCCACAGTGCAGACAGATTCATGAATATAGGGATGATCTTGAAAAGAAACGAGCCTCTCATAAATCTTAAATGTTGTTGGAGGGAACCGCTGTAGGACTTTGTTTCGTCCTATCTGTCTCCTAATACGGACTGGGTGGTTTTTGCTTTTCCCAGTACTTGGTTCAGTTGGAATGTTCTTCTTTACTCTAAACTCTAACAACCACACATTCCTAACTTCTACCATCAACCCTTCCACTGCCAGTAAGCAAACTAAAATCTCGGCAAAAGTTTCCCATACGAAAATCAATTGCGTAGAAAGAAATGGCTGCACACGACTGACAGTGAAAATATTCAGAAACAGAGCTGAGTTTTGAGTTTCTCCAAAAGGCAACAATAGAAAGATCAGCGCTGCGGTCAAGTGTCCACTTCCGGTCGAAACACCTGAGACAGTTTGCGTGTGTAAAGCTTGGCTGCCACAGAAGCAAAGCTGCGAATGTCGCAAAGAGCCGACTCCACCTGCTCCCAGCGTTTGTGACCTAGATCTAGGCGACACACCACATTGAAACGGTAGATTCTGAAGGGTGACCGCTGGTACTCGGAAGTCCCGAGGGCGTAGACACACCCGTTGACGTGCATCAAGGCAACATTGTACATCTCCTCGGTCAGCTCCGGCCCCTGTCGCCACTGGTTGGCCTCCACGTTGTAGATCTCGCAGGAGCGCAGAGCGTCGCGACGAATCGTGTTGGTGGAATGAGAGTAGATTTGACCGCCGGCCACCAAAATTTCCCCGTCCACAACACAGGCACCGAAATTAAATCGCGGGGTGGGCATCCCGGCCAGAGAGGTCCATTCGTTTTTGCGGGGGTCAAACTTCATGACCACGTTGTGAGCCCCCACCCCCGTCCTGCCGCCCAGAAGATAGATCTCTCCCCTCAGGACGACGGAGGAGAGATCGACCAGCGTGGTGGGCATCATTCCGACATAGTTCCACTGGTTCTTCTCCACGTCGTAACTCTCCACTATCTCCGTCGGGTGCTGGTTAAGGGTAAGGCCACCAAAGCTGTACAGTTTGCCGTCCACAGAGGCCAGGGTGAAGTTGGACTTTGGGAACAGCATGGGGGCTCGCGGGAGCCACCGGTTGTGGTCGTTGTCGTACATGTACACGTCTTTTCTCACAGACTCCTCGTCCTCAAAGTCATCAAAGGACACCGAGTCCTCGTCTGACGGCGACTCCCCATAGTTCGCGTGATAAATATAGTTCCCGCCCGCTGCGTAGATGCTGTTGTCCTCTGTGACGATCACGGCGGGATCTTCCACGCAGTAGTAGCGGGCCTTGTCTTCCATCTCGGGGAAGGTGGCCATGAAGAAGGCCTCGCGGGTGAGTGGGTTGTAACAGTTGATGGTGGACGGCTTGCTCTGGTCAATCCCACCCACCAAAAGGATGCAATGCTCGGGCTGAATCATCCCGGAGCGCAGGGGGAACGGATCTTTGGCATTGCTGGCGCTGTACACTTTCTCGGGATTTTCCAGAAACATCCGGATGTTTCGAATCAGCACACGACCCTTCTCACTCTCCATTAACATGGGGTTAGGGTACACGACATCAGTCAGGAATTTGACGCTGGCGAGAGGAAACCGTAAATGTAACATTAGCTCCCCTAGATGCTGACGCCGAGACTTGAGGTCATGGCTCACCCAAGTCATGATAGCTTCGTAAACCGTCTCCTCTTTCTCCACGTTCAGCTCATCCGACGACACAATATCCACCACTTTGTCCAGCGGAAGCTCGAGAAACTCCTCCGTCCGACTGACAGTGTTGAAATTTTTCTCGATAAACTCGCGAGCCTTGACGAACAGCTCCTCACAGTTGTGCACCGAGGCAAAGCACTGAATGCCCACGCAGTTCGTTTCATCCAGCTGGGTCTCCATAAACTTGGCGCAGGCCTTCTGGACGGTGGTCATCTGTAGCAGAGACGCTGTGGCCAGCAGACTTTGGGCGTTGGCAGACGTGATGTCCAGACGACCCGAGTACGCGTACTCAATGAGTAGGTGGACAGAGTCAGAATCTGTTTCTCGAAGCCACACCTGAGAATAGATGAACGATGATGTGCAAGATGAGAATACGTCAACACATAGATTAGCTGATGTTCAACCCTTATATATATATATATATATATATATTTTTTTTTTTTTAAATATTTTTTTATATATTAAAAAATTTTTTTTTTTTTTTCTGTAAGAGTTTTACGGCACTTGCAACACAATGTCAATAAGGTCATATAAGTGCCGAAGGTTAGAGGTGTTACAAGGGAGTAACAAACACAAAAAAGTAGGACAACCTGTATATCTGACCAGTGCATTGTTGTCCAACACATGGCTAAGGTCCCTACCTCTCTTCTACCCCTTACTCATATTCTCTAGCCATTAATTTCTACCTCTCTCTTTCCTGTGTCTTCTATCCCTCTTTTCCCAACTTCACAACAAATGGACAGACATACAAGTAAAGCTGTTTGTGCGTGTGTGAGTGTGTGTGTGTGTTTGCGTGTGTGAGTGTGTGTGTGTGAGTGTGTGTGTGTGTGTGGGGGGGGGGGAAGAATAGGCACTCACATTATATACACATGGTAGAGAAAAGTACACGGGAAGACAACACAAGAGCAGTTTCATTTCACCACAAGCAGTAAAGGAAGGATATACTAATCATAGGGACAAAAAATATGAGGACCTCACAAAAAAAGAAATAATCCACGTGGGGACAGGAGACTCATAAAACAAATCCTTTGTAGAATCTTTTTTTTTCTCTTTTGTTTATTATAGGAGTTTTTACACTTTTACACCCTCATCGACACAATTAAGATCATTTCGTCTGCCTGCCAGGGCCAATCCAGGCTGACAGAGATACAACATCCCAGCAAAATGACAGAGATAGGTCTACTCCCAAAAAAAAATTCTCCAGGAATCAAACTTGGATCTCCTGCGTGCGATGGCAAAGCACCTCGATCTAACCTATGCACCACAGACCCTGTGCAGTACAATCTGAAATTTTCTTTCCCCATAAATCGCCCAAACAATTAGGCCATAAGCTGGCCAACGACACGCCTCAAAGTCCCGTACCTCTTGCTGTCTCGACTCGTGCAGGTCAGAGGTGAACATGGCACGGAAGTACGGGCTAGCAGCCGCCAGGACCGCTCGGTGGCACGGAATTCTCCGGTCCTGTACACACATCGTCACATCCACCAGCAGACCTTCGTCAAACATTACCTGTGGAGATAGACACAATGGCCATGTGGGACAGGGATCAAATGATAATAATAATAATAATAATAACACTATAGATAAAGACAGTACTGCCAATAATAATAATAACGACATTGATAATGATAATACTAATGATAATAATAATAATAACAATAAGAGTAATAACAATGATAATAATAATCATTTTAAAGATGATGATAATAATAATAATAACAACAGTAACAATTATAATAACAATAATAATAAAAAATAGTAATAATAATAGTTCGTTCGTCAGTGTCTGATGATGACCATTACATCCGCAGAGGAGCATATTTCTCAAGCAAAACAGAAAAATTAAAAGAATTAAAGGTTATGATGACTTGTGGCTACTTCTACGGCTGATAAAGTGGCAGACTGGTAAACACAACTGCAAAGTCAGTTCCACTTGTGAAAATTTTTTTACTGTAAATGTTTTACACCCCATCTACACATTCTAAATCATCCAGCCCTCCAGGGCCAAGCCAGGCTCAAAGGGGTGAACATTGCACCAGACAGAGAAACTCGGTGAAAAAAACATTCATACAAACATACAAAGACAGAGAGAAAGGGAGAGAGAGAGAGAAAGATAAAGGGAGAGAAAGAGAGATAGATAGAGAGAGAGAGAGAGAGAGAGAGAGAGAGAGAGAGAGAGAGAAAGATAAAGAGAGAGAAAGAGAGAGAGAGAGAGAAAGAGAGAGAGAGAGAAAGAGAGAGAGAGAGAGAGGGAGACAGACAGACAGACAGAGAGAGAGTGAGAGATTGATAGAGATAGATAGAGAGAGACAGAGACAGACAGACAGACAGACAGAGAAGAGATAGATATCTAAATCTGACTAGACACACACACACACACACACAGACAGACCTTCAACTCCTCCAGCAGCTCCGTGTGATGTTCTTCACACTCCAGTGTCATGCGCTCCATGGCCGCCCCTCTCCACATTCATCCAGTCTCTGTTGGGTTCTAGATGTCGCCCTCGCTATCACACTCATCCAGTCTTTGTCGGATTCTAGATGCTGCCCTCGCTATCACACTCATCCAGTCTCTGATAGTTCTACCAGCCTCTCTCGCTTTCATACATTCTCTTCTTCCCAACTCCAAGCATGTGAAATGAGACCATCGGATGTCCAAAAGTTATCAGTTGCCTGACATCATTGTTCCGTTCCTGTGCACATCCACAGAGAGCAACTTCCAGGAAGTCACTCGGGCAGGACCCATGCTGATAGGGAAAAGAAAAATGTTTAAGTTAATACTATATATAAATGCTTTAATCCCCCCCTCCCCCTACACACACACACTCAGTACATCTTTCTACTTTAAAGAAAAAAAAAACCAAGACAAAAGTTGGATCGGGTTAACAAACATTTTCTGGAAGTCTTCAAAGCATTATAATAAATAACATAAATTTGCTCCGTACATTGACGAGTGCACTGTCATATAACCATCTTCCCCTCACCCATCAATCCCGATGTTCCATATTTCTTTCTTACAGTGTTTCATTCACAAGTGTAGGACATGTTTGTTTCTTCTTTAAATGAAAATTTCTTTCTGTTCTCTCTTATTAACAATTATAATGCTATTTAACAACAGCGCCCTCACAACAGTGCTAGGCGAAAGACAATATTATGTAGCTGTAAACAGATGTCAAGGGATGAGGATTCAATGAAAAAACAAAATTGATAACTAGTGTTATAATTTATAATCCATCCTGAAAGGTTCAGCTTGAGCACATTCCTGCAATATCAGGCAGGGATAGTTTGGAAGTCTGACGAGGCACCGTTAGTCAAACAAAATTCATTCACAAGTGTATACGGTCATCTGTTGCACGTGGTTTGGGAAAGGTTGGATAGCAGGAAGGGATTCATCAGGGAGGGGAAGGAGAGGACAGCATGTGGATCTGGAAGTGTGGGGCAGATATATAATGAATTAATGGGAAAGGGAGACATAAAAAATATCCAATAATAGAGTGCTCTAATCAAATGAGGTGGACACAAATAATTGCTTTAAATTTGTATATATATGTCACTTTACTTTCAATCAGCCCTCAAAATTATGTTGAATACCCACCTTGTGTAGCATGAGTTACTCTGGATAGGATAGTTTACACACACTTGTCTTTTCACTGGGATGTTAAATGAAAGTGAGGTTCTCAAATAAATTAGTGAGAAAATGGCAGTCACTTTGAAACAAAATGGTAAACACAATCACAGGGGTCAGAAACAGTAGAGAGCTGAATATCCCCCCCCCAGCTTTTTTCCTGTTCTCTCCTCATTGTAAACTGCAAAGCAAAAAGAAATAACAAATACGAAGGCCTCAAAGCTCTGTTACTTCAATCAAAACATTGTTACTATAATCCTCATGAACTGACTGTCTCAGCACCACGATAGTGACACATGCAAAGTAGTGAAGGCTTGCTGCAGTGATGGACCAGGGCACAAATTCTGTCTAGACAATCTTCATAGTGGTAGCAATAGCTCCTGTCAGCAAGAAACATTATGGAAAGAGCCGCACAAAGGAGTATTGATATTATAATAAAGAAGAAACAAACATTCAAAATAAAAACACAAAGAATATTCAATAGAAAACCACCTTAAAATCCTAAAACCATAAACTACAATCTACAATAGCAGACAAAACCATTTCCTAGAAATGTGCTGACCCAGTTGCTTCTACTTATAATTTTCAGACAATGAATCATGAAGAATTAGTCATGTTGACTTTGAAACTGACAATGACATTTCCCACAAGGACGATGAGATTCGTCATCATACATTCTCAAGTATGATCCAGCAAGTACCAATAAACCTCCAGCACTTACTCAGTTTAGGGATGTTCAATTACTCAATAAATAGTCTAGCCATAATAAGTTTATATACGATAACAATTGCGTAATTTAGCATTCTTCATTTGACTGCCATGAGGAGTAAATGTGTGCAAAACAAAACTTGCACTTCGACTCAAATCATCACATCGTAATTTAGCAGTGTAACCATTGCATTGCACTCTCAGTTTTCAATTCCCCCAGTAAACAGTCATATCTTCACATGGTCGCAGGTCGACGAGAATAATGCAAAAAAGTAAACGCTGTAGATTTCCCGTCTATGGCACTCAAGAAACGAAAAATATAAGCAAAAAAAAATTCCAGACATGCAGACATACCTGATAACAGCATGTTGCTATCGGTAATCAGATGCATCTGATCAACAGCATGAGTCATCAGGCTTTCCTACAATTTGGCATCATTTTTATGATGACTTTTTTTTGTTGTCTTAGCTTGCTGCACGACGACAGTTTCCGGTCAAGGTCAAGGGGAACTACTCTTTATAAATGTTTGTGCCGTATGTGGAATATAGTAGTAGTCTCCCTGGGATGTTCCGTTGTCAACATAAACTTTGAACTTTCCCTTTATTGCCTCTGGCCATCTGGACTTTGGGCCAATGTAAATTTAGTAGGAAGTTATATATATATTTGGCTGTCTCGTCGTTAGCCTGGTCCAACAAGATACTTGGCCCAAAAGTAGCTCCACGCCTTGGATTTGTGACACATATACAAGTAGGCCTACTATGTAAAAGTAGGGATTGTTTTGTCAGCGTTTATGGAAGTTCGTTGACTCTTCGGTAAATTTATTGAATCGCACCCGTCTCATAAAGGGTGTTATAGCCTATATTTTGTAGCTTTTTCGGTTTTTGTTAGGGCCCAAAACGCGATTTTGGCGTTAAAAGACGTTGCATATGGTTATTTCAGGGAAGGGGGGGGGGGGGGGGGGGGAGACGGGAGACCACCTCCTGAATCCCTCCTAATGACTCCTAAAAAAACCCATGCATAAACAATAAAAAGCCAAACCAGTATAGAATCTAGATCTAGATAGCAGCTGTGCGCAGGGAGTAAATCTATAAAAATACCGACTTTTCTTCTACATTAACATTAACAACTAGTTACATAGTTTACAATAGTAGCTCCGCCTATAAATGCATGACAAAAGCAGTCTCCGCTCAAACGCACGCTTTCGTCATATGACAGGCTTTTTTACAATATGATTTATACTTACAAATGCACGGTCACGTCCTCTAAACACACGCTTCGATCTCTGCGAAACGTGCTGACATTTAAAGCTTGACAAAGGGACATTTTTGCCACAACCTATGCAGCTTGCAAAGGGAGAAGTCTTGAAAGCCAGATATTTAGAGAGACTGCCCCTCTTGCAGAACCAAGACAGCATTTTCACACAACTTTCCATTGACACATAGGTCTTGGACTGGGTCAGCGATATGTTTAGAGGATGACTGAAATGTCTCTTGATTGGTCACTCAAAACATGGCATATAAAAAGATGTTTATAATCCTCACTGGTGTTTAGATGACTGTAATGTTTAGTGAGGTGTGCATCATACGAAACAAGCACAAATGCTGTAGAACACTAGATAGGCCTGTAGGATTAAATAAAGATTAATAAAGTAATCTGCTGAGCTCGAAGAATTTATAATGTTGTGGTTCAACGGATTACTAGAGACTAGAAAAAAAGTCCTTCAGAATGTCCTATATGTCATCCTTGCATTTACCGAGTTGCAATAGATGATAGGCAGTTTGGAAAGGCCAGTGGCTGAGAGCTTATCCCTATGACATGACTTTTGCCACCAGTTTTCTCTTATATGTCCGCGACATGTTAGTGCACATAAATATAGTGAGCTGTCTTTCTGTTTTTTATCTATCGATCACTCATTCAACACCTTTGTTGTCAGAGCTGCAATCAGGGAATCTTTTTCGAAACAGTCATGTATGTGTCATCGCATTATTGGGCAAAAATTCACCACGCTTTGATGGCAATTTCCTTATTTATTTTACCTCTGACACCAGGTGACCCCCACCTTTTTCAGTTGCAAATATCTTGAGATCTAGCTAAGGTAGATGGGTATTGTTTTCATCAAAAGCAAGACAAATTAACAAGCTTTAAGTTGGCATCAGTAACTTCATATGCCCAAACTATTGACGAGCACCAGATTCCATGGTGTCTTGACATATATTGCTAATGAGGCCACAAGGTGCCAGAAAATAGAGATTGAAGTGAGAGCAAGGAGGGATAATCAAATTAATGTTCTATGTCTAGAGTTATATTTGCCTTTGAATTGGTGGATCACAATCTCTTTAGTAGCACGCTTAATCATTCTTTTCCTTTTTCCCTTGGAAAAGGAGGGGGGGGGGGGGGATCTATTAACAAGTGTCCTTACTGTCTCAGATAATCAGGTTCTCCAAATCTTTTTGATCTCTTCTGTCATCTCACCCTGCCCATCAGCTTTGAGGTCCAATACCACCCCCCCCCCCCCCCCCCCACCCCCGCCCTCTTTCTTCCTCTGAGATTTATCAGAGTAGCGTTCAAGGAGAAGACGTAACTCTGGAAGAGAAAGGGAAGAGTAAAAGGCCCTCTTTGCAACTGCAAGTCAGAAAATGAACTGTAAAGAACGGGGATTACTTATTCTCAAAATAATTGTTTGGAAGGAAATACTACCCTGTCTATTCATAAATCCCCTTCATTCATCAGTACCTGTATTCATCAACCCCCTGCACTCATCAATCCCTGCACTCATCAATCCCTGCACTCATCAATCCCTGCACTCATCAATCCCTGCACTCATCAATCCCTGCATTTCTTTTCTTCCCTAGATTTTTCTCCTTTGTTTCCATGATGTGGGATTTACTGCTGCCCTGCGGGCTAGCCCTTGCTGTGTTGCTTGCTGTTCTGTTTGCCTTTGCTGATACAGACTTCCTTCTTGCATTATATGAAAAATTTGGAAAAGATTGTGGTGTGTGGCTTTGTAATTTTGTTTCTAATGTAGCAGTGATAATGTAGATATTGTGGTTTTTGTTCCAACAACCTACCCCTTAGTCTATAACTGGTTGCTTGCGTTTTTGTGATCTCTAAATTATGTTTAGTGGAAGGCCGGGGTGAGGAAACTGCTGTAAAAGTCTCAAGAGGAAGGGTATAATCATTTTGTATAGTTTATGTTGTTTTACAGTTCTGTTAGTCTATAAGTGATGCTTTCTTTGTGCCTCTATTTTTTCACAGGTTCTGAGGGACCTACTGTATGCTATAACAGCTTATTTGCTTTATCAGTAGGAACCTTTAATTCTTTACACTTGCCTGTCTTGTAGCTGTGTTCGTTAGCATTCTTTTACTCTTGACTTTCACGAAGGAATAATATAGAAATACTGTGTCACTCGTGAAATCCATTTTGTCAAAGACTCTTTGTTCTGTCTTTTCTGTGATAAAACTGTCTCTTGTGTAGATCTGAGAAGTATGTAAAAATCGAAATACTATGCTACTATGTTCAGATTGGTGGTTTAAATTTGTTTGCAGGAAGCTTATCAGGCAAGGTGGTATGGATTACAGGAGCATCGAGCGGCATAGGAGAACACATAGCCTATTGCCTGGCAAAATCTGGCTGTCGACTTGTTCTGACTGCTCGCAGAGTGGAAGAGTTGGAGAGGGTAAAACAAGCCTGTATAAGTCAGGGTGAGTCGCACAGGAGTTTACCAACTGAACATCTGATTGAAAGTTTAGTCAAATCTTTCGGAAAAGTCATAGACTTGTAACTTTGTCTTTCCAGTGGAAACTTGCACAGATGAATATGTTCTTTATAACTATATACTTTTTTAGTATGAGTTTTGCGGCACTTGCAACAAAATAAGGTTATATAAATGTCATAACCATATACAGAAATACCAGTACACAGTCTCGTCCGCACATAGCGAAATCAGTGGGATTCGGAGATCTTTTAGTTTTTGTATGATTTTTGCTATTAGTATGTGTTTTAACATAGAATATACATGTGTAAGAAAAATTTCTTGACCTGAAAATCTGTTCGATACACTTGTGTTTCGCTATGTGCATATTCTTTATGTGTGTTACACTATATAGTCTTTCATTTGCTGCATCAACAGCTCTCGTTAAGTATTGAAGTCTCATCATTTTATTTTTGTCATCTGTGATCTGCACTTTGTTTAGTAAAGGAAGGAAGTCAAGGTCATAATATATATGCAATTTTTGTGGCTCAAGGTAACGAGAACAGAGATATAGAGTGAAAGGAGCAGAAAGACTCATCTTTTATAATATAAGATACGATTTTCATAGTTTTGGGGTAGGATTATTTATTTCTCCCTTTTTTTTTGGAGGGACGGAGATTGGAAGGTGGGGGGG